CGCCCCAGACGCCACGAGGGACCAGCGCCGCCTCCTGGCAGTAAAGCGCACGCGGGGGGGGCTGGGCCTCGGGGCGCCACCCCACAGGGCCCCCTCCACACCCCGCCCACCCGGCCCACCCACTCACACTGGATCTGCTCGTGGACCACCAGGGCGAAGTGGTCCAGCTCCAGGATGTGCGACAGCCTGCCCAGCGGGTCCGTCAGGTGGATCTGGAAGAGAAGCCGTGGTCAGCCCGGCCAGCCTCGGCAGGAGGCCCGAGGCCACGGGGCGGCCAGGCGCCACTCTGGCTACCCCCTGGCCTTTTGCTGTGACTGCAGGAATCAGAGTGTGACATGACGCACAGAGGGGCCCTTGGGCCACCGAACCGCGGCAAGACACGGGGGAGCAGCCCGCACGTGTCGCTGAGTGCGGGAGAGGCGGCCCTCGCGACTCCAACACCAGGACGTCCCGGTGAAGGTGACACTCAGGATCCATGGTCTCCAGGGTGGGGGAGGTCAGAGAGTGGAATGGGCAGGATGCAGGGTGCAGGGCCACACAGGGCCACCCTGGGATGCTGGGACGGGCGCACATCACTCCACACTTGTCACAGCCATGAACGGCTGGACGTAAGGTCGAACCCTCATGTAAATGAGGGACTTCGTAATAGCCATTGTCATCCTTAACAAACCCTGCCACCCACAAGAGTGACCACCGGGAAGCGGAAAGGGGGCGGGGGACGCGGGGACTTTCTCTGTCCTGCCTGCTCCACAGACGAGTCACGGGCACTTACAGCCCAGCTTTCAGGGTAAGTACAAGTGGACGTGCCTGCGGCCTCAGCGGAAAGGGAAGCTGGGGAGCATGAAGCCTGGGAGCCAGTCACGTGGGGTTGGGGACACCGGCCAAGGCACAGACCTGGGTCCTTGCCCAGGTGGAACCGGGCCCGGCTGACCCACAGTGACCCCCACCTCCAGGCTGGTCACCCCACTCGATCCTCAAGTCACCGCCAACTGACCCAGAGGCCCTGTGTGTGCAAAGCCCGCCCTGGCCCCTTCCGTCCAGTCTAGGCAGGTCACACGTAGACCCTCCCTGGGGAAAGGCCACTTGAACCCCCCGCCCCCACAAGGGCAGCGCCCAGCCTGCAGTGGCACCGGGCACAGCTCACAGCTCGGGGAAGACCGTGGACGTGGGTGGGGACGACGCCAGGGCCTGTCTCTCTGCCCAGCGGCCATGGCGCCAGGAAGTCACGTGACCAGATGCAGAGGGCAAGAGACCTAAGTGGCCCCAATCTGTGTCTCCTGTTCTTTTAAAAGTCGCATCTGAGGCCTCATGACTACACCTCCCCGGCCCTCGGGGAGCTTGTCAGAGTCGCCGCCGGCCCCCGCGTGTCAGAGCTGCGCTCGGGTGAGGACGGACGTGCCCCCCCCGGGGACGCGGCCGACTTCTCTGCAGGTTGGACCCACGTGAGGCCAGCTGCATTTTAAAAGGTCTTTCCAGTTCTAAGTGATCGGGAATGTCAACCACAAGTTAAGGGACAAGCACAGAAAGTGGAGCGAGCCTACCACACCCCCACTCAGCGTGTCACCGCGATGGATACCCCCCAGCCTCTCCGCTCGGGGGGCTACGGGACATGGGGGCCACTGCAGGGACAGCAGGGGTGGCAGTGGCGACAAATACGGGACCTGGTGGCATTTTGACTGTGTGCGTGTGTGTGTGTGAGAGAGAGAGAGAGAGACGGGAAAGGGAAGGTCAAGTTCATTCCCAGGTCGGGGCTTAACCTTCGCTGCACTCACTGGGAGGTGAAAGCTGGGACCAGGGAGAGGGGACGATGGCACGGCCTCGGGGACACCGAGAGCAGCGTCTGGCCCATCAGAGGGCGGCCATCGTTGTCCCCAGGAGACCTCGGGGGTGTGACCAGCCCCTACACAGCAAGGGGCCACACCGTACTTCTCGAGAACAGTCTAGTTCTTAAACAACAGGGCGTTTGTGCGTTTCTGAATGGACGTGGCACGGGGGAGAGGAGGCTGAGCCACGAGGCCCAGCTGGCAGGCGCTCGCCGGGCTGGCTGCTGAGGCCCAGGCGTGGCCGGAGCACGGAGGGCGAGGGCGGACCCTCCGGACGTGGCCCTTGCCCACGGGGCCGGGATGAATCCTGAGAAGCCGGGGTGAATCCTCAGACTCGCAGCTCCGAGGGGTGCCTGCAGCACCAGCCCGCTGCGGCCCGGGGCACGGCGGGGACCTGGCCTTGGCACGGTGGCATTGGGCCTGCCTCCGAGGACAGAGCCGCGTCTTGGTGCCCGCACCCCGGCTAAGCGGGCCTCATACCTGTCGGAACTGCTTGTAGATGACTCTGTGGACCGGATCGGACGGCTGCACCTTCCCGGCGAGCAGGCAGGACAGCATGTTCCCCAGCGTCACCATCCCCAAGATCGTCCTGGGTGAGCGGGGTGGGGCCGCGTCAGGGCCGTGACACACGCCCACGCCACCTGCCCCGCGTCTGCGGTCACGGCCAGGGGGCAGCGCTGGCCAAGGCCCTGCCAGGTCTGCCCGTCCGGTGCGGCCAGACAGTAACCCAACGAGCGCGAGTCCCTTCGTCGGACGCTGTCACGGGTGGCCACCAGGCCCGTGTGCCGTGCCTTCCCGTCAGACAGCCCCTCAGGGCAGGGCCAGCTGTTGCCACCTGCCTCCCGTGCTCGCACTGAGTGCAGGGGCAGGGGACCCAAGTGCTAAGACCCAAGGGGATAATGCGGCCAGGCCCCCGGCCCGGCCATTGCTCAGGAACACAATGCACGACAGCTGGTCCAAAGCTCTGGGCACCTCTGTGCAAAGTGGCCCAAGCCGGCTGGCCAGCTGTGGGGTCCACGCGAGTGGCTGGGACTGACCCCGACTCGTCAACCACAGGCGCCTGGTCGAAGCCCTTGTCTCGGAGGACGGCGATGGTGTGCTCACAGGTAACTGTGGGCAGCACCGTGAGCGGAGCTGACAGGCTCAGGTCCTGAACTCTGAGGTGCCACCACCTGCGGGGAGACGGCAGGGCAGGGAAGGCGTGAGCCGGAAGGTGGACGTCGAGGACGAATGCTCACACGGGCAGCATCGCGCGGGGACCTCGGGACGACCAGCCTGGCGTGGGACGTCCTCACCAGGGCTTCTTCTCCGTGAGGTCCTTCTCCTTCAGGAAGCCTTTCTGTAGCATCCACCTGTCACTCAGGAACTTGGACCTGCAGGTGTTGGGAGGTGAGCAGGGCCCGGCAGAGGGTCTCGGCTGTGCCCACACCGAGGGGCACGGTCCTCATGGAAAGCCCAGTGCCCCGTGCCCACGACACGCCATGCCGGCACACCCTCGCAGCTCACGCCCACGTGTGCATGCACAGCGGGCCAGCCCAGCACACGGGACACGCGTGTTCTCATGTGGAATGGGGCAGATCAGCAGTGGGCTCCCAGACACGAGCCACCCGCCCCTGAAACCCCAACGTGGGGCGCCCACCAGGGGTGGCTGAGCCCATCAGATATGGACCCTCCATAGCCCTGTCTGGAGAAAACCCCAAGGGCACGGTGTGGGGGGGTTCCTTCAGGTCCCTGCCCCTCCCCCGCCCCAGAAGCCTGGTGCAGAGCAACCAGGGTCCATACTTCGGGGTGACCCAGGCAGGCTGCCAGCCAGCGGACAGGCCCTCCAAGCACGAGGCTGCCACGGTCACGCCCTGACTTCACGCGAGTCCGGAACACCCCAGAGGGGGATGCGTCAGGCCGAGAAAACACAGGCTCTGGCCCGGGGGTGGGTGGGAGCAGAGCGCGGGCCACGGACCACCCCCTCTCGCCCGCCGCCGTCAGATGTCAGGGGAGGCCCCGCGGGAGCGCCCGGCACCCGAGGAGGCGCCGGCGGGAGGGGTGGGGCCCCTCACATGTAGTTCCGGACGGAGTCGGGCAGGAGCACCACGCAGCGCTGGCCCTCCCGCAGGTCCTGGGCGGCCTTCACCGCCGCCGCCATGGCACTGCCAGAACTGCCACCTGCCGAGAGCGCCGAGTCAGACCTGCCCAAGGCCGCGTGTGGGTGTGCGCGCGCACGCCTGGAGACACCCGGAAGGCTGCCTGGGGGAGGAGCCGCCCTCGGGGTGCTGGGGGGACCCCACTTCTCACTGCCCGTCTCCATTCCGTCCGTCAGGGTTTCATGGCGGACCCGCCATCTGGACACGGTCACCCTGCAGCCAGTGAGGCTCCCCTCGGCCTGGTGTGGCCGCGCCGGGCAAGGCCCGTGGGCCGAGCCCCCAGGCAGATGTCTGAGCGCTGACCGAGCCCAGGGACAGCCTCGCCTGGTCCCTCTGTCACTGGCCACTCACAGCCACCCCTCAGACAGGTGACACCCAGGAGCCCTGAGTCACAGCCAGAGGGCAGATCCTTGGAGGTGGCCGTGCTCACCTACCCCTCTGGGCTGAGCTGAGGGAGGCACCACCTGATCCGCAGGACCAGGGCCCTTCCCTGAAAGTCACCATGGGGCCCGTGTAGCACCGAGCACTCGGGCTTACGTCCCACTGGCAGTGGCGACCGGGTGAGGTTCAGCACCGAGCATCCCTCATTATGAGGCACAAACTGCTTCTCAGGACATCGTTTTGGAATTCCTTTTGCAGTCAAAAGGGGCTTCCTCCCAACCAGCCACACCCCCACTCCCGGTGTCCCCGCCCCCAAGGTGCCGTGACATAGAGGAGAGCTGCGCGTCACCTCCCCACACGGAGTTCTCGCGTGGGCGTGTAGCCGCGCTCTGCACGTAGGCCCCCGAGACATGAGCCAGGCCATTTCCTTCGTCCACTCGGGCGGGGCCTCGGGCCTCCCTCGGACGCGCCTGGCCTCTCCCGGCCGCCAGTCCCAGCCGCAGACCCCGCGGATGGGGGCCCAGCCCGAGGACGATGCCAGGCTGAGGGAAAAGCTGTGTCCGGAGCACTCTGGCCCCAACGTGGGTGCCCGGTGACGGCTGGCAGGACGCTCGCCGCAGGCCATGCCCGACCCCACTGCCGCCTCTGCTGGGTGCAAGGCCAGCGCCCCCTTTGCTGTCACGCTACCAAGACGAGCCGTGTCCCCTCGCAGCTCACGCCCCTCCCTTCGCAAGGCTGCGTGCCATGCGCTATTCTCAGCGAGGCCATTAAGCACGGACACAGAGCACGCGGGCCGCAGGACTCCCAGGAACTCGGGACACTGACCCAGGGTTCTGGCCACGCTGGGCGGGGTGCTCGACGCAGCCTCCCGCCTCGCTGGGAGTGACCCACTGACCGGGAGGGCAGGCAGGGTGACCCCTTGAAGGCCCGGGGCCAGCGGACGGCGCCCGGCCGAGCACGGTCACTGCTGCCACGCAGCCTCAGTACGAGGGTGCCCGCACACGTTTGCTCTGGGAGCTGGCAGAGGGTGAGCGCCCGTCTGCCCCTCAGCCCACCGGCCACTCACCGCACAGCAGCCCCTCCTGCGAGATGAGCATGCGGGCGAAGGCGAAGGACTGCTCGTCATTGCACTTGAGCCATCTGTCCACCACCTGCGGCAGGACGCAGACCGCGGGGGGCTTGGGCAGGCGTGCAGGGCGGGGGGCCACAGCCAAGCGTGCGACCTCGCAGACTGTCTCGTCCAGGTGGCCGTGACCCTCAGTGGCCGTGGCCCCGCCCTCGTCTGCACGCCCGGAGCGTCCTGCGTCTCCCCGGTCCCATGCGTTTTGCACATGGCAATGGAGACCCTGGGCGCCCGGGCCACGGCTGGACCTCTGGGGTGTCTGTGCCCAGCGCGGTCACAGCACACAGTGGGATACTGTGCCCGTGTCACCTGGTCTCAACCTTCGAGATCACGCTTCTCATCCCTGCCGTACGGGACTCATTTGTGTGCACCCTCGGTGGGAAAGCCAGGCCGGGGGCCCGTGGTCAGTCAGCCCGGCGAGCGACCCCCGAGCCGGTTAAAGGGTGAGCTGAGGGCTGCGCGGTCCCCGTGGTCCCCGCGGCCCCACCTACCGCCCGGTCCAGCACCGTGGGGATGAAGTCGTAGCCAATTCCCTCCACCTCGTAGCCCGTCTGCTCTGTTCGGTTCAGCTCCTCCGGCTCGGCAAGGATGGAGCCCTCAGGGTCCACCCCAATGATCTGCAGGGACAGCGTTGGGGCTCTGTCCGGCAAGGCCCCTCTGGATGCGGCATCCTCGGAGTGGCCGAGGTCGCCACCGAGACCCGTCCGGGGGATGCAGGCCTTGCTCCCGGGCGTGACCCAGGGACCCAGGCATGGCATGGGCTGGGACAGCTCAAGGGGACGGATGGGGGAAGCGGCCACCGCATGTCTCAAGACGGCCCAACAGACCGCCCGGGTGACAGCTGAGCCTCGTGGACGAGGGGGGCGCCGGGCACTGACCATTCCCTAAACAGCTGAGAAGCGGTGGGCGGGAGGGAACGACTCAGCGCCAGCAGCCCGGTGTTTCCCAAGGTCCCACCCGGCCACCGTCAACCCTGAGCCCCAGGTGCCCAGTGGGGCAGGCGCAGGACCGGAACCCACGAGCTCCGAGCTTCTCAAACACACTCTCCCGTGTCCGGCTGGTCAGAGCGCCTAGGTGCCGGGTCACGGGGTGCCCCTGCACCCCGGGCAGGCCCCCCGCGGCCCCGCCCACTCACCTGGCATCCGGGGCAGGCCCCCCGTGGCCCCGCCCACTCACCTGGCATCCGGGGCAGGCCCCCCGCGGCCCCGCCCACTCACCTGGCATCCGGGGCACTTCTCCTTGAGCTTCCGGGCGATGCCCGTGATGGTGCCGCCCGTGCCCACCGAAGCCACCAGCATATCCAGCTTCCCTGATAGGGAGAAGCCACATCAGGGACAGCATCCTAAGTGGGAACACACTCAACTCGAGGGAGGGCAGGGCCCCGAGGCCGCAGGAACAACGCTTCTCCGGTCCCCACGGCCCCCCATCGCGGGCCTTTGTCTTCAAGGAGCGTGGAGCCCCAGGGTCCCAGTGAACGCCGGCTGCTAAGCGGCATGCGGCCACTGAGCTCTGCTTCGGTGTGACCCCGTCAAGCCCGGCGGGAGCGTGGGACGGACCCCTGCAGTGGCTGCTGGGGGGTGAGGCCCAGGGAGGCCACGACCCACCTCCTTATGTGTTTGGATTTGGACAGGGTGACGAAGTAAACTGAATCATAAAGGAAATAGAACAAATCCGGCTCAGAAGCCGTCTGGGCTCTCCCGCTGCCCGGCGCCAGCCCAGGCATCCTGCAGACAAGTCCGTGCGAGGCCCCGAGCCGGGGCGGCGGGCTGTTTTTGCCTAACGGGAGAATTCTCACACATAAAACCTGGGCGAGTGAATGCCTGGGCTCTGCTGCCCGGCTGCTGGGCACAGAACACTGAAGCCGATGCCAGCTCTGAACTCCAAACAGGAAGCCAGGGTGCCCGCCGCCCAGCCACGCCCCCCAAAATCTCAGCCCATCAGAAAACATCAGGGCCCCCTGGGCCTGGACACTGGCTGCACGGAGAGATTCCGGGGAGCCCCCGGCCAGACAGTGAGCTGACGTCACCGTGGGGCCTGGAGGTGAGGACCTGAAGGTGGAATTCAGCGCCGAGCTGGGGCTCGATGCCCAGTGCCAGTCAGCACCGCGAAGCCCCGGCCGGAGCCCCGCAGCAGCCTGGGACACACTGGCGCCCTGAGGCCAGACTGCTGGGCACACTTGGCGCTCAGGACAGGCGGACCAGCTCCGAGAGAGCAGCAG